TTATAATTAGTTAGTAGTGTTGACTACCGCACAGAAGCTTATCGAAAAAGTTTACTCGATACATTTCGTGGGAAACATTCATTCTAATGTTTGAATGCGTCACACCGACAATCTATTGTAAAAAAAAGATTAATAAAACTTATGACTAGGCTGTTTAGGCATTGTTCCCTTTGCCTTCCCTCAAAAGGGAGAATGTTAAAAAATATGATAATCATATCAGCGTTGGCGCCTTACCATGGATGTATGTAACATCAGTACTCCTAGCACGAACCAATATCGAATAGAATAGGTTGAGAGTCCGAAATGTCATTGTCAAATTTTGTAGGAAAACTTAAAAAGCAGCGCCACAACGTACGTAACGAGAACTAAAATCAGTACACATTTGACAATGACATTTCAGACTCGCAAAATATACTATGGTTCGTGCTCAGGGTACTTAGATCTTAGATTAAAACAAAAAGGGTAGATACGGTACGCTCATACTTGCATCAAACAAAAACTGATCCCACGGCAGCGCGAACGAGACGGCGAGATCCGCGTCACTGCATTACCAATCACGCGACCAGTACTCGACGTCACTACCGAATAAGATTCAAAACAAACAGCAATTTTTATGAAAAAATATATTTTATAGTACTTACGAATGAAAAGTGATGCCGTGGGTTTTATTTTTAGTTCTTGAGCAATTTGAGCACTTTTTAAAAACACACTTAGGCATTGTTTTATCATATAAACACAAAATATTAGCAATATTTCTCTTTGGCGTTCACATGTACGTCGTTTGCATGTCAAGCTGTGACTAAAGCGATTAGGATCGTGGACCACAATTCATGCGGATCACTTTTGTGACTCTAGTGCCGTATCTACCCTTTTTGTTTTAATCTAAGACTTAGATATGGGTTAGTACTTTGGGGAAATTCAGTAGATATGGCCAGAGTTTTTATATCACAAAAGCAATGTATCCGCGCAATATGTGATATTCCACCAATGACACCATGTAGACTATTGTTCCCTAAACTCAAGCTTTGCCAAGCATGTACATAAAGGAATGTTGTGCTTATGTTAAAAGTCACCCAAATTTATTGGTAATGAGAGATCGGTCCAGCCATTCTTTAGTTATTTCCTATAAGTGTTCTAACAAACACGAATTTGTTTTTTAAGTAGATTATTACCTGAGTAAACTATTGAACTTTTTTTTGTTTGTTTTATTTCGCTATTAAAGTCCTAAATTTAACTAAGCCAGTTGAATGGCGCTTGCACCAGTGCCGAAATATCGGAGACTCATAAAAAACAAGTTACAGAAATCACAAATCAATATATCTTTATTCAATTATGATTTTATTTATTTTTTAAGCATTTAACTGCTAGATGTTTAAATCTAAAGAAAAGTTTACTAGAAAAAACCGCGTGGATTTTTTTCTAGTAAACTTTTCTAAAAAGTAAATAAAATCATAACTATAATTGCTATTTCTTCTTTCAAATGTTTAATACTTGAAAAAGTATTCATTTGACATTGTGGGTTACCTACAATGCGAAGAGATGGCGCTGCCTTGAAGCTTAAGGCTAGGAAAATTTTGACTCGGCTAATAGGGCCGTGGTAGCATAATGGTCAGTGCATTCGCCCGGATAGCGAAGGATGCGGGTTCGAGTCCCGTCCGCTGCCTGGTCCGCGTGGATTTTTTTCTATCAAAACTTTTCTTTATCTTTATTCAAATTGGATGTATAGTACAGCTCTTTTGAATCGTCCAAAATTTTTTCCCCTACCACTCTTTATGGACTTAATTTTCAGCTGTGGATAAAAAAGAGCGAAAAACCTACACAATATTAAAAGTCTAATGTAACAACATTTACAAATCATTATGTTGTTACAACGTCAATACAATTATGATTTATTTGATATAGAAAACCTGTTGGAATGATTGGAACAGTTCAAACCCAAGCATTTTTGTCAGTAATATAATCAGACACTTTGTAATAAGCTTTTTTAATAAGTGTTTTTTTATACTATCTTTACATATAGTAACAATCCCGTTAATAGCTATAAAGTATAAAAATAAATCAAAACGATCGCCGCACATAGGATCGCGGAGCTTATGTAGACATTTATATTTTTCATTTGATTAAATCCTTTTGATCAGCTTCTGTTCAATATTAGTTAAAATGCCAAAAACAATATATCTAGATGAGACTCGCATTTAATAGCATTACTTTATTGTTTCGATAAAAATTGACTTTCACTACACTATTGTAATGTGTCCAAACTGCCAATATTAGTGTCGCCGCACACGGGCCACCGACCACAACTACAAAACGCCGCCACCGGCATATTTCTTGTAATTTTCATACATTTTATATGGACTCGGTGCGCCGGTGGTCGCCACACGCTACAAATCGTCGTTGCTCGCTTCTTGTGGCCCGCACCGGCCACATAATGCGCCGATACAAGACGCCGCCACACGTCACTCGAGCGATTCCCCACCCCTCTCTCCCTTACCTTAGTCGGCCGCTGTCGCGCGCTTCAGCCACTTTAGTAGCTGCTTCTAGCTTCTCGTGGCGGCGTTTGTGGCTGTGGCGTGTGGCCCGTGTGCGGCGACACTCAGATAAAGAATCCTAGTCAAGGCATATCTAACGATTCAAATCTTTGCGTGAAACTAGAATTGGCAATGATTTTGACATAAAATGATTTATTTTGTAACTGAAATTCTTGGACATTCCTGTTATTTAAATTAAATATTCAGTTTTCTGGACATATGATATTATCCTGTTAATAATTATGGTGAATGTTTAAATTTTATAATTAATATATTATTAAAAATACATTGGAGGCAAAACAAACGAAAGAGTTATTATATTTAAGAACTTGACGTAGGCGGTAGGTACTCTATTTTTTGTGATTAAATATTTCATTAATTCATTCATCATTCGAAACAATGTTCCGTTGTTCACATTAATTACTGAGAAAGAGAGCATTTCTTCCAGACCAGTCAAACATCGCTGTACTAACTTTTTCGCTCACCATTATGTATAAGTCGCACGAAACTTTAAAAATGGTAGATCATGTAACAATAAGTAAATATCAATTTACTAACCATTCATTCATTCATCAACAGCCTATGAATATCCCCACAGCTGGGGCACAAGCCTTCCCTATAGATGGTATAGGGGTATTGGGCCATGACCCACCACGCGAGCTCAGTGCGCATTGGTGGGTGCTAGCGACTGCAGATGCAGCCGGCACCAACGGCTTAACGTGCCTTCCGAAGATAGGAGATAGTAAATTTTTGGTCACCCATCCAATGAACGACCACAGCGAAAGTTACTTAACTTCAACGATCGCAGCCGTACGTACTAACCACCAGCGCCATTGAGCTCCTCAATTTCGAACGACGATAAATTGTTAGACTGATTTGTATATTAACATTTACGACTCCTAACTCTTTTTAAACGCAACTTGTTTTTCTATTTAGTTCATTCTAAATCCCAACGATGTTCAGTAAGGTAATCCATTCATAAAATAATATAAACATTACAACTGTCAAAACTCAACTGACATACGAGATGACAAGTAATCAAATTTGTAAATATAACCTGTAAATCGATATAGTTCATGCAATCGTGACAAAACGCAGTTTGTACGTAACCAAAGTGCAATGAGTCGAATTAAATTTTGTATAAAACATTGCATCAGAGTTACGTGTATCTTTCCTGTTCGGTTCATAACAGAGAAGATCGATAAAATAGGGCCGTAGTACATACCGAACCGCGGCGGACGAAGTCTTCGCTTCCATCGCTCCTCAACACTATATAAAAACACTGACTAAGGCACTTACTACACTTGGTCTAATCTCACAAATTTAGGACGGCTCTGACGCTTCAACCGGAGCGCATATCGAGGTAGAGGCTATTCAGGTCATATAATTATATAATATTTCATTGCTTCGCTATTGCTTACAGTTTGGGGTTCATCGACACTTATCACCGAGCCATAATAGTTTTACTATTCAAAAATGCGACACGACACACTTATTAAATCTAAATTTGTTGTTTTCAATTCCATTAGTGCTGTGCGCGCCGTTGCCGCGCTGTTCTTTCGAACCGCGTACCACGTAACTACACGGATACAATTGAGTACTCGCGAGTTAAAAAAAAAAAGGAAATTTTGCAGTAAAACTAATACAAGACTGCACGATTATGGCTTAGGCGTATTCTGGGAACGCATGCGCGGTGTTTGACCGGCCTCGCCCCTGACTAGATGCTTCAATGGGTGCCGCAGAATAACCTCACATTACTACGCGGTACTACTACGGTGTATTGTAAACTTTAAAAATACCTATGATTTATGAAGTTATCTCTTGTTTTATTTTAAATATTTTAGGTCTGATTGGATGGAAGGGTATTAGATAGCCTACTTAGTGTTCGAGAAGGGGGTAACACCAGTGTTATTATCGATTTGCACTCGTAAGAGGGTTGCCGGCTCGCACACACGCACACACACACGCACACGCACGCACGCAGTCGACGAGTGATTTCACGTGTAGCTTCTATTTATAGAAATCCGCAATAAAAAATTCTCGATAAAATAGCACTTCGTATTTCCGTTACATCACTATTATTAAATATAGCCCTTCTTATGAATTATGTGCAATATGTAAGTTGAGATAAGCTTTTAAGTTCAATGTAGATAATTTACCTTCTATACAGCTACGTACACTACGTAATGTTGTACCGCAAAAGAAATTTATAGACCGTACACAACAAATTTCAGAATGGAGTCTTTAATATTTATTTATAACAAGAATTTAGAAATAATGAGAGAAAATTTTAACTTTTTCGAACAGCTGTTATTAATTAATAAGCTGTTATTTATTAAATGGTAGAATATTCCCTGCTTGTTAGAACATCTGCAGATTTTTTAAATGCTCAGATCAAATTTAAAATTACCAATAATAACATCAAATAGGTTTTCTCAATAATATAAAAACTCTTTGTAGTTATCTTAACAAAAAAAGTATCCAACTATCGTATTGTTTCCAAATGTCGATATACGGTCATTCTTGACTGCACTGTCAGTTGAATTTTTATTGAACATTTATAAAATCAAGAGATATTTCTTTTTACATTATTATTAAGTAATACTACTTTCCAGTTATGTTGCGCTTGGGCATGGTAAATAAATAACTCTCATATCGTAGCTACAACATTTATGTATAAATAGTCGATGACATTATCATTCGAATTCATCCATTTCCATTATAATCACAAACAAAGCAGATTCGAAATAATTTCCGAGAAAAGTTGTAAGCTTTGTTAGCTAGAGAGCTGATTGTGTAACAACATAGTTGCTTGTAAACTACATTTCCGGACAAATCTATCGGCCCACTTTAGTGTTATAAGTTTCCAAGGTGTATAGCAAAAATATCAATAAGTTATGTGAGCAAAAAACTTTTTAAAACACACAAAAAAGATGGTTAATAAATCTTCTTCAAAACGGCGTAAAAAAATTTTTTTGCTGAATGTTTAATATATTTTTAGCTAGGAACCATCAAAAGCAGACATCACAGACTCACCCTACCCTTAGCCGTACACCTGGGGGCAGGGTGGGACTGAACCATACCACCGATGTAGTGCTGGGATTTGATAGAAACAAATTAAATCCCAGTATTACAACAGTGGTCAAAACTTAAAATGCTTAGCGGGCCAATAGATGTGTCTGGGAATTTAGCTGCGAGCATAGAAGTTAGTGTCGCCTCACATGGGCCACCGACCACAAACACAAAACGCCGCCACCGGACTCGCCACACACGGTACGCCGGTGGCCGCCACACGCTACAAATCGTCGTTGCTCGCTTCTTGTGGCCCGCACCGCCCACTAAATGCGCCGATACAAAACGCCGCCATACGTCACTCGCGCGATTCCCCACCCCTCTCTCCCTTACCTTAGTCGGCCGCTGTCGCGCGCTTCAGCCACTTTAGTAGCCGCTTCTAGCTTCTCGTGGCGGCGTTTGTGGCTGTCGCGTGTGGCCTTTTAAAAGAGTAACTTTTATAAAACATCATCGCTTTTGCACTAGCTGACTCGCGATCTTGTAAGCACACAAGCTAAAAGATGCAGTTTTCATTGACTCGAACCTTAGCTCAGCTTGTAGTAGAGTTGCCAGATGTTCGGGATTTCCGGGTTTGTCCCGGAGTTTTGCGTATTGTCCCGCGTCCAGTAATGAGACCTTATTGTCCAGGAATGAGGGCTACCGTTTTCTGTCTCACCAGATGGCGCCACTGTTGAGTGAGGTCCTATATTTTAACTTTTAAAGTTTATTAATACGCACATGAAATCAAAGGTTACATTTAGATCGTATTTTAACACAAAAGAAACATATCCTAAACATAATAGGCCATGCCAATTATTCACAACATTATTTTAATAAGAAATAAACCCGCGTAGTCAACCAACAAGCAATAACATTTGACATTTCGGAGACCTCGCGCTACACTAGCGCCTCTAGCGGCGGATTCATACGCGATAGCCCTCATTCCGTTAATGTGCTAGTTTCGCAATAAAATAAACTAACAACTGCTTGATGTTTTAATTCCGGGGGATGATGGGAGGTTTAATTATATGCTTTATTTTTTCAAGGGGTTGTGGGGGTGTAAATGTCTCGGAATAGACAAGCCAGTATCTGGCAAACCTAGCTTGTAGTAGAAGTTTTTTTTTTACTTTGTGGATAGTTTGTTTTTCCAACATTGTACTCGGATACGGAACAAATTAAAAAATTAAAAAAATAAAAAAAAAATAAAAAAAAAAATAAAAAAAAAATGATTTAAAAAATCGCTCCTCTTTAATTGGGACGCCCGTCTGGGGAAGTAACCACCACTTTAAAGAAAACCACAGTAGAATAGTAGAACACTTTTTTTTTATAGCCAGGTAGGCAAATGTCTCTAGCCCACCTGATGTTAAGTGGTGATAAAGTCCAAACGCGTAGATAGCAGTTATAAACTGCTACACCAACCGTCCTCACCTTGCCGGCCTGCAAAAATGCTTCTTCACGCCTCTTTTAAAGGACCCCAGATTGTAGGAAGATGGTGGGGTTGTGTTTCTGTCTGTGAGTAAGGTGCGAGGGCTCCACGGGGCAATTTTTTATTTATTTATAGATAGTTCCGACAAATTACTCCACCCCACTTGATGTTAAGTGAAGGTGAAGTCCAGACGCGAAGATAGCTGATACAGCAGTTCTACCTGCCACACCAGCCATCCTCACCCTGCCGGCCTGCATGTTGCTTCTTCACGCCTCTTTTAAAGGATCCCAGATTGTAAAAGGGAGGGAACACGTGAGCGGGCAGAGCATTCCATTTACGGATAGTGCGACAAAGAAATGAGTCACCAAATTTCTTTGTACGCGTTGGAATGGTGGCCACAGTTAGACGGTGACAACGTACGCCAGCGCGCGTGGTCCTCTGAAGGAAAGGGGAAGGTGGGGTAAGAGAGAATTACTCCTCAGAACACTCGCCGTGGTACAGACGTGGTACAAATATTTTATATTGCATGCATCTTTAGGCTATGATAGCCGCTTACCATCTTGCTGACCAAAAACTTGTTTGCAGCCCTTAACATAGAAAAAAATGGATGCGTGTAACTTATGTACGCGCGTGATAAGTTATACTTCTTTAGTATCATTAAAAATATTTTTTAATTGCATGCAAATAATTAATAATTACAATAAAATAATAAAAGGACTGGAAAAGGATAGTTAACACAGTCAATTAAGTTCAGTTTTAATTTGAAAAATTAAATAAATATTCAAAATATTCAATTAAAATCACTACTGAATTTAAGTTATTAGTCCATATGTAATTAGCACTTGTAAGTAACTAAAACACGTTGTGTCTATATAGAAACTAGAAACATGTGGATAAATATTATAAATATGAAAACAGTGATCAGAGGCGACGAGCGTGCCAACATTGTTTTTGACAACGCGATCTTCTTATGGAGCTCCGTGGATCGTTCAAAGTACCTTTCGAACCACTAAGTGGTTAATAATCCACCATTATTAGACACTAACATTCATAACGCGCCCGCGGCCAACTTCATGGTGTTACTATTGTGTTACAGTGATGCGCGCGCATCTCGAAATTTCACTCGCATGATTTTTTCATAACGCGCCCGCGGCTAACTTCATTATGTTACTTTTGTGTTACAGTGATGCGCGCGCATCTTAAAATTTCACTCTCATAATTTTTTCATAACGCGGCTAAAGAAGTATATCTTCAAAAATCCAGCAGAACGGAATAATTACCTTAATTATCATTAAGTCTATATTATTATGGAATCGATACCCTCGTCCTTGCTTGTAACCATTGTGCAATGTTCTCCTATCGATTAATTCGATGAAAAATCATTTGATTTTTTTACCCTTAATTTATGTAATATCTCATCTTTTTCTTTTTATGGTTCACAGCGAAAATCTTTGGCATCTTGCAAAAATGACATTTTCAAAGGTAAGAAAACTTGAAGTTTTCGTTTCATTTTCATTATTTTCTGTAGCACGCTGGTTTGAGATAATATGGTTGGTCATTAGCATAGAACCACCTAACAATGCACTGTTTAGACTTAGCTCATGAGGATGAAAAGGCGAAAATAATAACTGTGGATCCGAATGGTGTCAGTTCAATAAAATTAACGGAGAGCGTCTATTTAAATTCATATCATTTGCAACATTTTTGGTTCCTCTTGTGTTAGGGTTTGGTAGTTTTTGAGAGCTGTCCGTTTTATTTAATTACGCTTTTTATTTATATTTTGTTGAATAATTTTAAAGTTTTATATGAATAACATCTGAAGCGGTTATCCTAATACCAGGTTTACCTCACTTCCTTCTCCGTACTTCTCTTTGTCTCCAACCGAATTTCAGCAATAGTGATTCATCATCGTTTTAGACGGGAAAATTTCACAAGCGAACATATATATACATTGTTAGTTTTAGATATTAGAACCTTTAAGAGGAGCTTTAAGAGACATTTCATGAAATATAGATTCGGAAAGCAAGTTAAGTCGTTGATTCTAGAAAACTAGCAAACCAGTGAACCAAATGTTCACCAAAACAAAAATGTATTTAATTAATTGAGAACTTCGGAGATTTTGTGTGGTTTCGTTTGAAATAGAAATCACGTGATTTCTCGAAAACCGGAAGTGCTACGTTACTCAAATCCGGTTTGTTGTCTTATCAGACTATTCTTAACTTATAACTTTAATATTCTCTTTATCTATCTCTTACGGTTTGGCCGCTGAAACAGCACCACAGACAGACGGACGGACGCACTTGTCTAATAGATAAGAGATAATTAGAAAGTTAGTTTACACCAATAAAGTCTTAACCTATGGGTTTTCCTTAAATAAAATAGGTAATAAAAATATTTTCCTCCTAGATTTTAGAGAATCTTTTAAATGCATACTTATTTAGCCATCTGTTCTTGGAAATCACATTATCACACCTACAAAAACTATAATCTGTGGACCTTTTTAGCCTACAATGCTGTTGCGAAACTAAGGAGTTTTATTCTCAGCGCAAAATGTCCTTTACCTTTTATTTTAGCCTATGAGGAATAAAATAGTAATTGAATGAATAAGTTGGTAGTGTATTTATTATGGTATGAACAAAGCTCCTCCCTAATTCAGAAGGCACGTGAACCAAAGGTCCCGGCTTCATCTTCAGTCGTTAGCACCCAACAGGCCCCTCTTTCCCAGTGTGCATTTTGGGCAAGTGCCTAGGCCCCACTCAGATCAAATACAAAGTCCCTAGTTCCTGTTAAATCACCAAACGGGGGTCATAGGGGCCCATTAGCCTAATATACCCAGGGCCTCCAATAGGTCAAAGACGGCACTGGCACCCACCAATCCGCACTGGGTTACTCCATCCATAGGGCAACGAGGTCCATGTCAAAATCGGCGGCTGCCTTAATCAAGAATGTCTTGAGTGACTCCAAATTGGGATGAGGCTTTGACCACGCCTTTTCCTGCAAGTGTTGCCATATCTTGTAATCTAACGGATATAAATCTGGACTGGAGGAGGGCCAGTCTTCGTTCCGGATGAAGTCGATTTCACGCGCCGCCAGCCAAGGTTCACGTGGCGAGTTATATCCCAATCTCCCTACTCATTCATAGGGCAGGCCTGTGCCCCAGCAGTGGGGATATTAATAGGCGTATGATGAACAAATTGCAGTGGTGCAGCGTGGTGCGGCATACGTGATAGAGCACCACAACCACGACGCGCTGGTGATCGGCGCGGGCGGCGCGGGGCTGCGCGCGGCTGTGGGGCTTGCTGAGCAGCAGTTCTCTGTGGCCCTTGTCTCGAAGTTGTTCCCCACGAGGTCTCACACTATAGCCGCCCAAGGAGGAATGAATGCTGCCTTAGGTAAAAACACATTTTTCAGTATACGCCAGTTTGCTTATCCCCAAAGTAAGCTCGCCGAGCAGCAGTCTCTGTGGCTTTTATACGCAGGCAAAAAATACTATTTACAGACGACGGCGCCTTTAAGTGGCACACCGCCGAACGGACCTCACACCTGGCTCCCGCAAGCCTTACGAGCCCCAGCAGTGGCTGCCCACTGAGGACCCCGTAACCCTTACCTGCGCTTTTCGGCATAATATCCGCTAAAAAACCCTGCGAATACCCTCTAAGCTGCTTAGCGCGAAGCCGCGGGATCCCCGTTTAGGGATTCTTCCGCGAGTCTCTGTGGCCCTGGTCTCCAAGCTGTTCCCAACAAGGTCTTATACAATAGCCGCCTAGAATGAATGCGGCCTTATGACAATTATATTGAGTCGTTATTATTAGAAAGACATTACTAGAAGTCAGTGTCGGGTAACCAAAACGGAAACTACTCGAATACTCGACTCCGTTCATTTACACTTTGTGTTTTACCCGAATTCCCTGGGCCCCGGGCTAATAACCAAGTCTAATCGCGCCATTAGGTAAAAACGCATTTTCTAATATACGCCAGTTAGCCTATCCCCAAAGCAAGCTCGCCAAGAAGCAGTCTCTGTGGTCCTGGTCTCTAAGTTGTCTCCACTAGGTCTCCTACTATAGCCGCCCAGGGTAGCATGAATGCTGCCTTAGATATATACGAAATTTTCAATATACTCCAGTTTGCCTATCCCCAAAGAGCGGCAGTCTCTGTGGCCCCGGTCTCCAAACTGTTTCCCACGAGGTCTCATACTATAGCCACTCGAGCGACCATCTATCTCGAGCTCCTCCGTGCTTCGGAAGGCACGTTAAGCCGTTGGTCCCGGTTGCATCTGCAGTCGTTAGCACCCACCAATCCGCACTGGGCCCGCGTGGTGGGTTATGGCCCAATCTCCCTATTCCATCTATAGGGAAGGCCTGTGCCCCAGCAGTGGGGATATTAATAGGCTGATGATGATGATGATGATGAAACCGCTAGCACCGAGATAATACTGAGGAAAAGTAATTCCTTCAGCTTTAAAAACAAAAGCCTTACATACCTACTAGTGGAGATATGTCAGTAGGAATATATGGAAAGGGGGTCAATACATTATACAGTTGAAATATTTTGACCCCCTGTTCAAAAAACTCGTATTTTTGTGTTAAATCGTTTTTAGTAGGATGATTAACTTGACATATCATGCTGACTTTCAATATTTGGTTTATAATTTAATTTAAAGGTAGTATGCACGAAGACGACTGGCGATGGCATTACTACGATACCGTGAAAGGTTCCGATTGGCTCGGAGATCAAGTAAGTTCACATCACTATTATTTTTGAATTACTTTAAATAAAAATATGTAAGCCTCGATCATGGTGTGCAGTTTTTTTTTCTAAATGGCTTCGCGGGGCTTGTGCATTTAGTCAATGTCAGGTGTTAAAATGTTTGTAAATGCTATGGCGCTCGTGGTCAAAGTAATAAATCAAGTCAAAGTAAGTGGCAGTCAAGTCAATCCCCCTTTCCCTATGTTTCAGTAAAAGTGTGGGGATTTACTGGAACCTCCCCGTGGACTTCTTGAGGGAACGTCGAAAGACACTTTCCGCTATTTTGTTTCACTTGCCAACACTTGTCCATGTTCCCGAACACTTAGGCCCATATTAAAGTTTCCTATTCGTGACACGACCTTCTATGGTCGTTCTTTTAACGTCCAAGCTGTACGTCTATGGAATTCTCTCCCTGTATCCATAAGACAAGCGCAATCTATTAATGTCTTTAAAAATCTAGTTGTAAATCACTTTTTGTCTATGTAGCTGCATTTTTATCTCTGCTGACTGCTGACGGACTAAACTTATATATGTGTAGTCTATGTATTGTATAATATGTATATATGTATGTATATATAATAAGTATATTTAATTCATAAATTCGTTCATATACCTTGTTTCTTTTACTGACACCGCCGACTCTAGCTTTCTTTCAATCCTCTCCATCCAAAGGTTGTCTGGAAGAAATCGCTTTTAGCGATAAGACCGCCCATTGAAGCACTCTTTTTTTTTACAATTGTAATTTCCCTCATTTCTGTTCTGTGTTGTGGTGTTTTCAATAAAGTATTGTGTATTGTATTGTAAAGAAAGATTCTCAGCAAGAATTCGAGAGTCCTGAGCATATTTAGAAAGGGTTGTCGCTAAGTGCTACTTAGCGATCAAACACTTAGTTGTCATTCTGTAATGTGGGCCTTAGTGGTCAATAATCCACCATTATTAGACACTAACATCCGCCACAACACAATTTTTAACAAGTAAAATAGAGCTGCTAAAGTGACGCCTCCCGCTCCCGCCAAATAGTCCGGTGTGCAGTTATGTATTAAGGTTCATGTAATAAAACTTAAGCGGGCTACTGACATCCTTACCGCTTGGGCAATCTAAGGTGTGAGGATGGGGATGACCCTTAATTGGGATGTGTGTAGCAGGGCTTGTTTACCGGTTAATTTTTAAACCTAAATCAGTGTAGAGTACATTAGGAGCGTTTTATTTAGGTTTGGCTCTACCTTCACCTTAAAAAAAACGGTTTTCTTAAACAGTGAAATCAAATAGGTTTTGAATCAATTTAGCAGTTTGTAAAGGGTTTCATTTCGCTCTTACTGACGGCATCGATAATAAATGAATAACTTGACTTACGAGACGCTAGCAAATGTGTCAATAAATGCATCAATCTCTGAGCATTAACAAGTTGTGACTTGATTATTTCAAACAAAACAAACTTCAAGCGATGCCGACGCGTGCATGTGGCGCTTTGGATTAAACCGGTTTATTAAGGTTAAGGTAGGTACCGCTTTCATTACAGACGCGCTCCGAACGAAACCTTAACTAAAAACCGGTATTTATATAAGGCTTTATTTTCCGGTATTTTCGAAACCGGTTTCAAGCCCTGGTGTGTAGGCAAGCAGGGGTAATTTACTAAATTGACCTTGCGGCAGGGCGGCAGGGGCGCGAGACCACCCTTGGTTCCTAGATTGTCCTTGCCGCCCTGCACGTTGCCGCGTGTGTAGCGCGATTGGGGCAATTTCCCAATCAGTTGGTTGGTAGTTGGTAGTAACTGTCACACGGAACGCACGTATTTCGATGAAGATGGTGGCAGATCACGAGCATTAAGTTTGGTCTCGAGTGATAGAAGTATATAAAGGCCGGTCTACTTTTTGACGGGATCGGGAAGCGTCACGTTAGCAGTTTTGTTTTTCTTCTTAAAAATTGCGTTGTGGCGGATGTTAGTGTCTAATAATGGTGGATTATTAACCACTAAGTGTTCGGGAACATGCACAAGTGTTGGCAAGTGAAACAAAATAGCGGAAAGTGTCTTTCGACTTTCCCTCAAGAAGTCCACGGGGAGGTTCCAGTAAATCCCCACACTTTTACTGAAATATGGGGAAAGGGGGATTGACTTGACTGCCATTTACTTTGACTTGACTTATTACTTTGACCACGAGTGCTATAGTATTTGTATACCTACATTTAACACTTGACATTGGCTAAATGCACAAGCCGTGCGAAGCCATTTAGAAAAAAAAGGCCGGTCCAGAATGTGGGATAAAAAAACACAACGCACCTGCTGCCTGGTTCGCGTGGAAATTTTTCTAGTAACATTTTCTTTCTTGTATATTTCCTAACCTAGCTCGGAACAAATCTTAAAAATATATGTGTACTAGCTGACTCGGCGAACTTCGTACAGCCCAAAAGTAATAATTTGCAATAAATTAAAATTGCGACTATAATTTGAGATTTAAACTATCCTATCTCTCAAGTTGGATCGAACTGCACATGGTGTGCGAATTTTATTATAATCGGTTCAGTGGTTTAGGAGTCCATTGAGGACAAACATTGTGACACGAGATTTATATATATTAAGATTATATATATTAAGATAATAAATTGCTGTTTGATGTTTTTCCCCCAGGACTCCATACAGTACCTGACCCAGCAAGCACCCATTGTGACAATGGAGCTCGAGAACATGGGGATGCCGTTCTCCCGAAACAAGGAGGGCAAAATCTACCAGAGATCCTTCGGTGGTGGCACCATACAACAAGGGAAAAGCATCGCCAAGAGGACCTGCTGCGTCGCTGACCGGTGAGTAAGAACAGTCATAAGTCCCATTAACAGAACCCAAAACACTGCTGTCCAAAAATTGTCTCCCTAACCTGTCAATCTTATTAAACAATATTGATTTTTAATATTGCCGTCTAACTGTGACCACAATTCCAACGCGTACAAAGAAATTTCGTGAATCATTTCTTTGTCGCATTATCCGTAAATGGAATGCTCTGCCTGCTCACGTGTTCCCTCTTCTTACAATCTGAAATACTTTCAAAGAGGTGTGAAGAAGCATCATGCTGGCCGGCAAGGTGAGGATGGCTGGTCAGGTAGAACTGCTGTACCAGTTATCTTCACGTTTGGACTTAACCGTCACTTAACATCAGGTGGGGTGGAGTCATTTGATAGATTCAGCCATCGCGGAACATTTGATTGATTCTGGTCCTAACCACTGGATTGAGTTTCATAACCCACAGATTATCTCGACAGAACGCCACTACATACCAAGATTGGTCTAAAAACATAAAAATTTCAATCGTGAGGACGGGTTTAAATTATCGAGTGTCTGGAATCCTGTGGTTCGTATGTGTAAAACCGGAAATAATCAAAAAGGTGTCGTGTCGCGATCCGATGCTGTAAGTGTTGTATGTCGAGAACAGTTTCGAGTGAATAGTGAGAATGTGAACAGTGGTACGGGTATCGAACGCAATAAAAGACTTCGTCGGAGGGTAGACCGATATGTCTGCCAATAACAGCCTACCCGCAATTACTTCAGTTACTCCATGATCATGGCGCTTGCAACAGTGCCGAAATATCGGAAACTCAAAACAAGGTACATAGTAAATCACTACATAGTATAAAACAAAGTCGCTTTCTCTGTCCCTATGTCCCTTTGTATGCTTAAATCTGCCAATAACAGCCTACCCGCAATTACTTCAGTTACTCCATGATCATGGCGCTTGCAACAGTGCCGAAATATCGGAAACTCAAAACATAGTACATAGTAAATCACTACATAGTATAAAACAAAGTCGCTTTCTCTGTCCCTATGTCCCTTTGTATGCTTAAATCTTTGAAACTACCCAACGGAATTTGATGCGGTTTTTTTTAATAGATAGTGGTTCAAGAGGAAGGTTTATATGTATAATAAATGCATAATATAGTAGAGAAACACTGATAATTTTAGAGGTTTTTAATATAAGGTCGTAAATAAACACATTTTTTTGCGCTTACATTGCAAACGCTGGCTGAACCCAACGAGATAGATCAAAATAATGTACTACAGTATTGTACACCTTAAAAAGGTCTACAAAAAGTCCGCGATGGTATATGCCTATCTCTTTGGTATAACCCACAATAACCATTTTTTAATTACTTATTACGAGAAAATAATGGCTTATTTACGAACAAGCGATTTTAAGCAATACAGCATTAATCCTTATCCAACCCTGCATGTAATTTAAATGAATATTTTCGAAGATATTACAGATTTAAAATGCAGGAACATACGTTCGGGCAGTACTGGCCGGGGGGCCGGCGGCGGCGCGTGTCTTTAGTAATTAGGTATTTAAAGAAAGTCATTGTGTTTAATAGAAACCTGAGAACAAAAATATAATCTAAACTACAGCTCTACACCGAAGCGAAGCGAGGGCGGGCCACTAGTAACTTATATTACAAATAGGGTTGCCACATCGCCAAACTTAATAGCCGGACAGACCAGCCAGTTTGGCCGGACATTTGGGTAAAATGGTCGGACATCCTATATTATCAAGGATTTTGTGGCACAGCAACATTAGCTACGATAAAAAAATGTATTTACGTAAAAGTGGTCTACATGCGACAGTCAACTCGTTTGAGCTCGGTCACGCTCGGCACGCAACTAAAAAGCCTAACTATGTCTGGCTTTATCCGGACACCTGGCAAATCTATACACAAAATATCGTTTGTACCACGGTGAATGTTCTGAGGAGTTATTCTTTCTTATCCCACCTTCCCCTTTCCTTCAGAGGACCACGCGCGCTGGCCTACGTTGTCACCGTTTTACTGTGGCCACAATTCCAACGCGTACAAAGAAATTTGGTGACTCATTTCTTTGTCGCACTATCCGTAAATGGAATGCTCTGCCCGCTCACGTGTTCCCTCCCTCTTACAGCCTGGGATCCTTTAAAAGAGGTGTGAAGAAGCAACATGCAGGCCGGCAGGGTGAGGATGGCTGGTGTGGCAGGTAGAACTGCTGTATCAGCTATCTTCGTGTCTGGACTTCACCTTCACTTAACATCAGGTGGGGTGAAGTCATTTGTCAGACCTATCTATAAAAAAAAAAAAGATGTATGATAGGGGCATAGGTACCTACAGGTACGTTGCAATTCATCGCTTAGTTTCAACAAAAAAAGCGTTATCGTTGTAATAATTGGAAAGATTATTTATCTGCGAACTGGAAACTCAAACTCAAATTTCATTTATTCAGTCTAGGCTGCTACAAGCACTTGTGCAGATCGAGGAAGCTATGCTATCGGTTCGCAAAACTTTATACTTCGGGAGACCTTGTACCGAGAAGAATCGGCAAGAATCTTGGCAAGGGCCTTTTTTTCTCCCTGTATTATTATATAGAGTCGTCAATTTGCAAAATGACTTTAGAGATAGTTCTGAACTCACTTTCCATTACACCATTTGCGAGTCTTTACAAGCTTTGAAGGTAAATAAACTAGCTTAAATTATACATCTATACTAATATTATAAAGCTGCAGAGTTTGTTTGTTTGTTTGTTTGAACGCGCTAATCTCTGGAACTACTGGTCCGATTTGAATGATTCTTTCAGTGTTGGGTAGTTCATTTATCGAGGAAGGCTATAAGCTATATTTTTAAAATTAGGGATCCGTAATAAAGGACATCGACGAAATCGGCCCTAGCATGCCCAAAAGAATGTCCTTCACTATTATTTTTCTATTATTTTTTAAGTTATTAGCAATTAATCATTGTAAACGGACAATCTGTTTAAGAAAATAAAAAATTAAAGTTCTGTTACTAGATACTACAGTCTGTTCATCCAACTTGGCACTCCTTTTTATTGAAAATACAGCATTAAAAATCAACTGATAACTAGATTCAATAGGTTTCAGTCTATAATAACGATTTATTTTATTAGTTTATTGGCTTCGTTAATATTTTATTATTAAACGGGTGATTCTGTTAAAAAGTTGTGCCAAGATTGTTTACCTTATTAAATGCAATATAGGCGACCATAAAAATAGAACTAGGTACCTTAGTCAATAATACTTATTACTAGTATTTATATTGTATTTATAAAAAGATTATTTCTGAAATTATGTAAAGATAGTTTATACTCCCATCCCATGTAATATCTGTTTATTTTTATGAAAATCATATTGATAACCAGGTACATACCTAATTACCGATAGTAAAATATAGAAACAGGTGAATGGAAAGACTGAACATTTCATTTGAAAAGAAATCTATTATTACTACAGGTAGGTATAGGTATCATAGGTGCCAACTGACAACACTCATAAATCAATATGAATATAAGCATTTATTATTTTTATTATTAATTGCATTTTATGTTCATTTAATGCATATTATTTAAGTGCTTACATAGAGGTAAAAACTAAATCTATTCAGAATATATAAAGTGTACATCTTTTACGATTAAGTATAATAATTATAACCTCAAAATCTAATACATTCTGTAGTAGGCCACGGTTCTTCAAGTTGTCCGTATCTCAACAAATGCTTAATTAGAGTTTATGAATGATTCCGAACACAACTAGCATTTTCTCATTGCTGGGCGTTATAGGGCATTCAATGTATGGGGAACGAGCAATGTCCTTTGCTATTTTGTAACACAAGATGTAAAATCGAAAACCTATTTTTGCGTGCGCTGCAAAAACTATTGACAATAGAACAAAATGATGTACTACGGGTTTGTAGATCCCATTAAGACCTACAAAAAAGTCCGCGAGAACATATATCTAGCTATCATGGTTTAATCACAATAACCGATTTTGTGTTCAACATAATTATTAAATCGTCTGAAGAAAAAAAAACTTCGTTAAATATGTATCTATAATATAGGCAATATTTTATCTCGGTATTTCCACGGAAACGAGAAAAACGCGGGTGAAACCGCGGGGCACGGCTAGTTAAATATACAGCTGCAGTTCAAGCTCGCAAACTGCGCCCCTGTTGCATTGTTAATAAGGGTATCTGCGATAAACACCAAACAAACGCGCAAAATCAAAGCTCGCGAGGCGCTTCGCCGTATTATGCCTCCGCTGTCGAGCCTCAGTCAGACGGTGAAAAAAAAAATGTACAGATCTGTGTACTAACCGCCAGACGGCTAGTTGGCAGTTGGGAAGGTTGGGAACTTCACATAAGTGAATTATTAATAAATTGGACTTAAGCTTCTTGGGTTAGAGCTCAAAATAATATTGAAGAACCAACCTAACGGTTTGTTTAAAGATTGACGTAGCATTCCATAGCCAAAACCAAAAATATTTACATATGAAGTTAGTCGACGGTTCGTCGTCAACACTGCCGCGTCTTTTGCGTTTAATTGTGGAAGTTTAAGTTAAAATTGTGATAAATTTCCTAGGAAATTATTGAAGGGTGAGATAATTATTACCAGATATGTAGTCTGTGAAGGGTTAAACTTTTGATTTTGGGTGAAACTTTTGATTTTGGACCAGAGGTAAGTTTGCACATGCTCGATTACGTTACAAAAACACAAAGGTTATTTGTTGCGATGATTGGTTCAAAATATCAATAAATAGCAAGTAAATATCTTTAAGATTAAATAGTTAAACAAATAATGACATCAGGCTTAATTTACGAATGCCACAGTAAGTTGACTAATATTGCTAACGACAATAGATTGACCCTACAGTGGATTAAAGGACACAGCGGCTCAAGGGGTAACGATGCGGCGGACTGCTTAGCCAGGGAGGGGTCTAGCAGGACGGCCATTGGTCCGGAGCCAATTATACCCATACCCTATCGGCAGCTGCGAACCTGGATAA